AAAAAATATTTGCCTCCCCCTTAATTATATGCACGCTACACCGCTAGCCGCAACCACAATTAGAGTTGAGCCCTATAACTGGCAATATATTTAAATTCTATTAAAAAAAAAGAGTTCAAAAGAACAGTAAGAACATATTAAATCGCTTCACCCTAAAGCTCTTATCACTATGAAGAGCAGAGCTTACAAAAGGCCCTTTTCAATGTCATCAAAACTTTGCCTCTTACAAAAATATTAAGTATGTAGGTTTTCCCAAATTAAAGTTCATTCCATTGTTTGCAGCACTTAACTACTCACCGCCGCTATAATGACATTCGCCTCGGCGCGCACATCCTCCCACGACAGCTGACCTTGTTCGACATGCGAGCGCACTTGCTCTACAAAGATAGCTTTCGACTTCCGTATGGCCGCAGAAGCATCCGCATCCACATCCGTCGATCCATCCACATTCACATTCCCGTCTACATCCAATTTCACTTTTCCATTCATTTCTCCATGCACACTGCCATTTACATTTGCATTTACAGTCCCCGAGCTATTTTCACTTTCATTTCCATTCATAGTTGAGTGCTGCCGCTGCTGCTGCTGCTGCTCCTGCTGTTTCATGCCATTTGCTACAGATTTATTATTTTTGAGCTGCAACAGCTATAGTGGCAAAAGAAAATGGAAGTAAAAAAGTTAAGTAAAAGAAATTAGCCGCAAGCATCAAAGGAAAAATCACTTTAATGGCTGCTGAGCAGACACTAAACTCTTGAGTGTGTGTGTTGGTGGTACATATTGTATATGTACATACATATGTATGTATGTTCGTGTGAATGCACTTACACTTTCAATGAAGCTGAAGAGCACATGAACGACTCGCTGCTGGCGCACAAACAACGGTGAACGCCAATAGAGCACATCCGGATAAAGCCACGGCGACAGCATGCGACGTACACACACCTCGGTGACGCTATGTTTGGATGCGGGTGTGTGTTTGTGTTGTGTGTGGTAAGCGAGTGCAGTGATGAAAAAGAAATAAAATTACGATTTAATACATACATATGTAGGGACATTTAAAACATGTGTAGGTGTACGTATGTATGTTTATTTTAATGCAGACAAAAGCGAAACTTTTGAAAAGACCAAGCACTGCTGGCAAATGAGTTGGAATTGTGTGAAACAATTGAGCCGACAGTGCAGACAGTTGAATAGTACAGTTACTCGTACCGTGGAATGTAATTGCAAATTTTCCAGTTAAAAAGTTTGAGCATTTTTTTCTTACTTCTTTACTATATTGATAAAAAGCAAGGTGGTCATTTTAAAAATATGAAAATTGTTTTCCTTGGGTGGTGTGTAAAAAAATTCTTTGTTTCCGGTATGGGCAAAATTTGCGTAAAGCGTCACGCGTAAACCAGGATGAATTCAGAACTGGTATAAATGAAAACAAATCTAATTAGCTTTTCTAGCAACACCACACGTGGATATAGTTCGGAATTTTTTCGGAACTATTTGGGGACTAGTTCGGGATCATTTCGGAGATGGTTTGAATCTAGTTGCGGACTTTGTTGGGCTTAGTTCGAACCTTTTTTGGCACTAGTTCGCCTCCAGTTCGACACCAGTTCGGGACTACGTCACGACCTTTTCTGAATAGTTTCGGGACCTTTCGGGTATTAAGTTTATGACTTTTCGGGGTTAGTTCGGGACTTTTTCCGGATAATTTCGGGGCTAGTTCAGGAATTTTTTGGGATAATTTCGGGTCCAGTTCGGCACTAGTTCGGGATTAGTTTAGGACTTTTTGGGGCTAGTTTGGGATCTTCTGGATAATTTAAAACTAGTTCGAGTCCAGTTCGGCACTAATTCGGGACTTGTTCAGATTATTTTTGGAGCTTTTTTCAGGAAAATTTCGGGTGTAGTTAGGGACCATTTCGGGACACGGGTGTGTGAATGATTTCGTGGATTAAGTTAGAATTGGTTCCTGATAGTAAGTAGGAAAAAAAATACAAAAATTACTTGGGGTTAATCAGCGAATCGCCTAGCCACCAGTGTTCCAGATGTTTTTTCGGAAAACTGAATTTTCGAACAAAATCTGTAACCTTCAAAAACGACGAGAGTTTTAAAAAAAAAGGGCATGGATGTATGGATTTTTGAGCAAGCGATATGCATTATTCCTCCCACATATGTATGTACATATGCACATTAGGGTCATCCCAAAAAAAATGTGAAAAAGAGTAAGTGCGCCTGGACCACACTGCAGAAGTGGAACTTACGTAAGTATCTAGTTTGTCTCATAACCAATATATGTACATTAAAGTGGTCCAAAAATGTATGTAAAAAAATAAGGTCGGATTTTTAATGCCGCCACCCCCTAGGATTGTTATACACCAAAAAAAATATACTCATATTTTTTTATTTTGAAATAAAAAATAATTTAGGTAGTGCTCAAAGCGCTCAAAGTTTTCCATGTATTTTATATGGAGAAAAAACAACTTTTCGTAGAAATAGTGTAGAATTCTTGAAAATCAATATTGTTCGATCGGAAAACTTTACTCATCTTCAGGAGATTCCCAGTAATAATACTTAACAATTTTTTCAAATTTTCATATTTTATAGGTCCTCCAAAGCCCTTAGAAAATGCAATGGGGGGACCAATAAAAAATCTTTAATCATAAAAAATGGTTAAATAAACAATTGGATATTAATACTAGAGTTTTCCGGTCGAAAAATATTGATTTTCAAGAGTTTTATACCATTTCTACGAAAAATTGTTTTTTCTCCATATAAAATACATGTAAAAGTTTGAGCGCTTTGAGCACTCCCTAAATATTTTTTGATTTCAAAATAAAAAAATAGGGGTATATTTTTTTTCGATATAGATCAATCCTAGAGTGTGCCGGCATTAAAACTCCGACTTTATTTTTTGGACCACTCTAATGTACATATATACATACGTATATACGTGCTTAAGGCACTATTTTAAAATTTATTTAATTAGATTTATGTTATTCTGTTGTCCTTTATCTTTATTTTTATCTTTATATTCTATTGTTCTTATAAAAGTAAAGCTTTTAAATTTAACACGATCTTCATCTTTGTTTTTATCTTTCATACTTTTGCTTTTATCCTCTTCTTCATCTATATGCTCGGGTAGATGATGTGAGGTGCGATGACGTAATAAAGTTATGTGATATGTCACATCATGTATGTCGATAACAAAATCGATAGTAACATCGATAAAAATATCGATAGCAATATCAATAAAAAATTCGATAAAAATATCCATAGCAAAATCGGTAAAAAGATCGATAACAGAATCGATAAAAATATCGACTATTATATCGATAAGTTCCGAAAATATCGATAGCAAAATCGAGAACAATATCGATAACAAAATCGATAATAATATCGATAAAAATATCGATAACAAGAATGATAAAATATCAATATCAAAATCGATAAAAATATCGATAAAAAACTGATAAAAATATAGATAACAAAATCGATAAAAATATCGATTATTTTATCGGTAAATTCCGAGAATCGCGAAAATCTCTAAATCACGAAATAGTTCCCAGATGGAGCATTTGTGTCTCTATCTATATCCTTTTCTTTATACATAATTACCCTTATTTTAATCTTTCTTGATCTATCTTCATCTTTACTTTTATCGGTATCCTTCTTCATCTTTTTCTTTATATTTACCTTTGCTTTTACTTCTTTGTTTATCATTTTCTTCATCTACATATTCCTTTTCAGCTTTGCTATTATATCAGTAAAGTGTTTAAATTTTTCTAGATCTTCATTTCAGCCTTTATCTTTACGGGTCTTTGTTTTTGTTCTAATTTTTTCCTTTGCCTTTATCCTTTTCTTTATCTATGCACATTCACACCTTTACTTTCATTCTTTTATTGGTCTTTTTCTAAGTGTTATTCTTTAACTTTTTATTAGCTCGTTTTGGTTAAATTATTACCATATGCATACATTCAAGAAGCTCTTGAATTCGCCAATTTACTCCCAACCGCTGGTATTTAGTAAAAAAATAACTTTCAACAAAAATTTTTTTCTTAAGGAATCCCATAGAAGTTACTTATACGCCACGAGTGCTTTAATCTGGTACTAAATATGAAACAAAAAACATGACGTTTTCGATTTTGCAAAACTAATTTAGCAAATGCAGTGTTTTTGTAAGCTTAAATATCAATTCATCAGTTTTGTCACTCACCCTTTGTATGCTTCGAAAATATGTGCAGAACCCTCGTCTTCAAAATTCATACGTTGACCCATTGTGGTCTCTACGCAAATGGTACATAAGTAGACATACAAATAGACAGACAAAAAAAAAATTGTAGCTTATCTCCACACCACAACACAAGTACTAATTGTAACACTTACGACACGCTGCTTCCAACACATTGCGTTTCAACATCTCATAGATCTCCAGCTGCTTGCCGGCCTTTGCCAACGTGGCAAATTTACTCAGCAACACATTCGCTTCAACATTAAATATGGGCAAAAAGTTGTTGATAATTTGGCGACTAAAAGCTGGATTGATAAGGCGGCGATGCTTATTCCAGCGCGGAGCTGCAAGTAGGCAGTAAGTAGGTATGTATGTAATGTATGAGCGACCTAATAAATATGTATAAACTAGAATGAATGCTTGGTTGAGCGCTTAGGGGTATGCTTAGATTGTGATTATAATATAGACATGACTTTGAAAAACACTCGCCAGCTATTCGGACCCAAATTAACTTCACAAATGATGGTCAAAGTGGCACATAATGTCAATCAGCGCAGGCTAAGTGTTGGCACGACCTATGCAATTACTTGCTTTTAATATGTATGTTAGGTATATTTGAGTGTTTTCATGTGTGATAAATATGTATGTGGCTGTGTGTAGGTGGTGTGACTGAATAAAGGAGCAAATCTCTTCTACTCACAGCTGGATGTGAAGAGCCCATCGCCAATTGCCGCTGCCATGAAGCGATAGAATTCGCCTTTATTTGTGCAATGGGGTGAATTGAAAATCGTTTCCACTGTTTCTGGGTCATTAACGTAGAGGAAACAACTTGTGCCCATCCATGAAATAAATGGCGTCGCATAGTGTTTCGATGTGTGTTCCATATATTGAAGGAAGGCTGAGTGAAAGAAAGACTTATTTCGGAAAAAATCTAACTATATATAGAAATGCTTTAAATGAAATAAAATGAGAATGGGCTGTCGAAGGTATTTTTTCCTTTCAAATACATGTATATACATTAGGGCGGTTGTATGGGATTTTTTTTTTTACTATGCTATCTTACGTGACATTTTGAAAGCATTCGCCGATGAAACAAAGGGTCTAAAAAAATTGTTCAGCTTTCCAATTTTTCGTTAGCAACATTTTGGTTTGCGTGGAGTGTCGTAAATAAGCGTTTAATTACTTATATTTTCTATTGAATTTTAGTTGTATGTTTAAAAAATTATTTAATTTTTTTACACGTACGAAAATATGAGAAAAAATGTTTCGTCCTCTGGCGAAGGTTGTAAGAAAATTACAATTAATTCCCCATACCGAAAAACCCAGTGGCGGATTTAAATATTTGCCGCCCCTAGGCAATTCATAACTTGCCGCCCTTTTTTCACGAAAAAAAAAATATATATATATATACCTATATCAAATATGATTGTTATTGTCAGTGCTTTATTACAATATAGTTCGTTAATAATGAAATACATAACGGAATTAACAAATTCGACATCAGCATGGATAAGGTATTCAACAAAAACCCTCTTTCAAACACTTCTTTTTCACAGTTCTTTACGTCTTGATTTTTCAGCTGCGAATTCTCGGATAATATCTTCACAATCGATAGATAGAAACAAATCTGACTCTATAGTCAGCAACGCAAGAGCATTCAGTTTGTTTTCGCTCAATGAAGATCTGAGATAGTTTTTCACGCGTTTTAAAACAGAAAACGATCTTTCTGCGCTACAATTGGAAATAGGAATTGAAACAAACATCCGCAACGCAATTTCAACATTAGGGTAAGAGATCTGCAGATTATCCTGTCTCAGCATTTTCAACAGTTCCAGAGGAGAATAATTTAAAATCTTCTTTTCGGTGCAGTATGCCTTGAAAAAGACCATTTCATTTCCCAAATTTTCCTCAAGATCTTGGGTGTAGTATTGGCTCAATTTCAACGACTGCTATACTAAGGAAAAATTCGCAGCGTAATTCTAATTTTGAATTGCATTGAATGAGATGAATCATTAATAATATTTTACAGACACAAACACAATTTCAAGTGCAGCTGAATCCAAATAAATTTTTTTCTTTTAATTTAGCTGTCTTAAATTTTGCCGCCCCTTAATTCTGCCGCCCTAGGCTTCAGCCTATGTTGCCTGTACGATAAATCCGCCACTGGAAAAACCCATTATAACATGTTTATATAAAAAATGTAAACACTTCTTTACGAAACTACAACAAAATAGAAGAGTGAAAAAAACCAACTCGTAATTAATTTTAGACTCATTATTCCTTCGGGAAATTTGCTTAAAATTTCATTTTTGATCCATCTGTAAAGATCATGCCCACAAGCCGATTACAGCCATTGCGGAACTTTGTACAGGGTTTTTCGTTGGTTCATGTCCTTGGTACGATTTGGGAGTGTATTTAGAACGGTCATGAGCTCTGCCTTGCCCGCGGGCAAAGCTCTTTTCAGCATTCTTCACATTTTGTATAGCCGCGCGTAGAGTAAAAGCTCTCTCTGCCCATCGCTGATTTAGACTGACAGTAAGATCGAATCCCTCTTCTTTTCAGAGATCTTTATAAAGATTTCAACATTCGTTAGCGCTAATTTAGTTACATGCCCTCGTGCTGCCAGATTTGACTGATTACGCATTGCATTTAGAGAACTTTGGTTACGAAAATTTAGCGTAGCGATTGTCAGAATCCCACAGCAGCTTCGTAGGATATTATTCAGAATTAAATACCTTCTAAAAGTTTGCAATGCCTTGCAGACTACTTNGAAGCTTTGTAAGTTCATTATTACTCCATGGTATTTATGTGAGCTTTCTTGCAGTACCTCAAAAGTTATGCTTTCGTAAAAACCTTGCCGAAGGCTTTATTTAAACAGTACAAACTGACGGCGAGTTCGTTTTTAAATACTTTGAAAATAATTCCCCTTTGTTTTTGGGAGAATTCGAGAATTCTTAAAGGAGCGGATGTACGCGCTGCGACTTTGAACTCAAAGAGTATACAGCGGTGATCTGACTGGATCTCATCGTACTACCACTACGAGGTTTACAAATCCTGAACTCAAGGCACCTGGCACATATGTACATACGTTTGGATGAAACTATTTAAAAGCATAAATTTCACTTTTTTGTTTAACGATGTATGGCAACGACTTGCCATAAGGCTTAAGAATTCCAAAAACAAACATTTTTCCAAAAATTCAAACCTATTCTCTTTAAGATGAATTAAAGTTGACACCACAAATACTGCTTTAATTAAAAATATAATTTATGAAATTATTCACTCCAACTAACTGCACGTCTTCCATAACTGGCTTAATAGCCGCACACTTA